AGTGATCTATCTTGAAAGAAGTAAAGCCAGAGGGTTGGAACCACCAACCTTATAGTTATCAGCTAAAAGCTTAACCCATTATGCAACCAGGGATTCTTATATCTTACTATCAACGGTTTACCGAATACACAAATTTCTTAAGTGGGATTTAGTTTTCAATAAACTTAACTACAGGGTTAGCCTACTATAAGTAAACTTCCTGAGTAAATTCTTTAGTGGAGTTTATATGGATTAATTTGACTAAATAAGACAAAACTCTGACATATAATTTCCACCAAACTGTCATGGGTTAGATAATATTTTCATTTTTGCCATGGTTTATTGTGTATAAGAATAGTCAACTATTTACAAATAAGTTTGTTTCAACAGGAACTGCTAGTTTAGTTGACTTTTTCTACACAGGTGCTTTTCTGACTTTAAATAATAGTGAGTGAACAAATTTCTTCTTATGAGCAACAGATAATTACAGAAAGCTCTCTCTCTCTCTCTCACACACACACACACACACACACACACATATCATGTGCTTCTAGAAAGAGTCTTGGTGGTGTAGTGGTTTACATGGTAGGCTGTTAACCACAAGATCAGCATTTCACCACCATCAGCTACTCAGAGAGAAAACAGTGAGACTTGATACACCCATAAAAAATACGAACTCACGAGGGCGGTTCTACCGTGTCCCATAGGGTTGCCATAAGTCTAACTGACTAAATGGCAATGAGGTTGGAGTTTGGGAGTTAATTCCTCCTTCTGAATAAACATACTTTAGTAGTGATTACACTATTTTCTAAGCAAATGTGCACTTTTCAGTGTGAGTAAACCATTTAAATTAAATATTATATTTTCTGATATGCCATTTGGGTCACGGTTATGAAAAGTGAATCATTATCTCTTTGCATTGGGTAAGAGTCCTTGTGGAAGGCAGGCTATCATTGACTACTAACAGAAAGGTTGGCCTTTTGAACCCACTAGCCGCTACACAGGAGAAAGGTAAGGCAGTTTGCTTCTATGCCAGTATAAAGCCTCAAAACCTCCAGGCAGCAGTCCGCTCTGTTCTATAGGGCCACGATGAGTCCGAGTGGACCCGAGGGCAGGAGGGGCAGGGATATCCCCCTCTTTACCTGACTTTGCACTTCAGGGCCCATCATAATATCCTATCTCTTCCCACTAATTAAAAAATTAATTAATGTTAAGTAATTCTGTAGCTAGTTTCCTCAAACATATCCATGCCTATTTTAAGAAGAAGTGGAATACATAAATGTCATGGTACTTACGTATTTGGTTTCCCGACCGGCTGCTCTTGGAAGAGTTGTGGGAATCTGTGTGGGAAAAATACATTTTTTTCCAGTTAAGTAATAAGAAATACTAAAGATGTGACTTCTTCTGTTATGATTTTATAGAAAAAATCCTATTTTTTCTATAAAATCCTCTAGTTATTTGAAAATCATTTCATTAAAGTATAACAATTTAATTTTCCTTATCACTGCTCTCTATCAAATTCCTGATAATTTCTCTTAATTATTGATGTTGCTAACTCATGAATTACATTTGTTTCTCCAAGCTTTTCTTTTAATAAATTTGGTAATTTAAAAACGGATGCAGAAATTGAATACCTTTCAATTCTTTATGCTGCTCAACTCCAAAACTATTCTTGGCCACTTTAATTTTTAAGAACCATGACCCATCCTAGACTTGGCTTTCAACAGTAAAATGTAAAAACTCTAAAATTTCTATTCTGAACATCTTAACCGTAGGGCTCTGCTTCCTATCTGCCAGCTTCACTTCTTAAGAGTCCACTTGTAAAATGTGCTCTTTTGTAGCATAAAACTCCACGAACCATAGTTCTACACAAACAATGCACACATTTTATTTTACAAACTGAAAAAGTTTGCAAAACTGTGAAAAGCACATAAGGATGTGTTAATTTCCTATGGGCACAATGCGTAGTGCATGTGTGTACACATCATTTATGTGAGCACGTTATTTGCCCGCAGTTGCTGAGGATCGAGAACTCAGAAATGGCGGGGCAACGAGGTTCTGGCTCAGTCTCTCACAATGTCCAGTGCAGGTGTCAACTGGGAGGATGTGACTGCAATCATCTGAGGGCCAGCTCAGGCTGGAGCAGCACAAGCTCACTCCCATGACTACTGTTAAGGTTCAGAGCCAGCTCTACTAAGACCTCTAGTTATTTCTACTTGAGCCCCCCGCCCCGCATAGGGCCTCCCTGGTACTTAGAAACCACTGGCAGCCACCGGTTCCATTCAGTCTTCATTACCTTTCCACTTTTTAAAATTTCAATTCTCACTCATTTGAATACTTGCAATTATCCTCTTTCTTTCTGTAATGTGAAAACTCACCTGCAGAAAAAATAAATCAACCCTAAGTGGATCTTTAATTCCATGTTTTCAAACAATTTCAAATGGCTTGGAAATTCTATTACTCAGCTAATTATTTCAGTTTTAAATTTATGATTTATTAGCTTTAAGTGGCCACTTAGTATTTTCTGGTTAGCCCCAAAGATTTTTTTTTCCTTATAGACCCACTATCATACTTTCTGTGATGAAATGACTAATTACTAATTAATTTATTCAACAAATATATTGGTTGTACATCTGCTGTGTGTCATACACACATACATACAGTTCTAATTTAATTTTTTTAATTTAAATTTTATTGGGAGCTTGTACAACTC